TAAATACATATGCATATAAATACACACATACACACTTATAAATATATATACATGCATATCCATATACATATACATATACACGTACATATACATATATATGTATATGTATATATATATACATATATTTGTATATGTATATATATATACAAACATACATACACACACACACACACACACACATGTTTATATGGATATTTATTTTTAGCTTAGGAGTAAAGTACATATCTGTATCATAAAAGATATATATATAGCCATGCACCTACACATTTACGTAATTTGTATTTTGTGCGACACTGGCGTCAAGTACACATGGTAGTGTGCGGTTTTGATTGCTATATGTGGGGTGTGTAGAGCCATGGCCACTAATGTCATCTGTACTGTTGCACATAATCAAGCTACATTAGTGGCTGGTAACAAGCTGTAGATTCACTCCAAGTGACCTATCAAGAAAGTGCCCGAAAATATACATGAATTCAATGTACATACACCGACATACGATTGAATGAGATCAATACAATTGAAGAAGTTTTTCGTAAAAGCATACTTGACGTAGTCAGGGTTGTGACATTGTGTAACCTTTTATAGTACCCTTGAATATTATTGTGTGCAAGGACGGTGCAACTAGAAAAGATTCTTCGTCTACCTGTCTAGCTAGTAGTAAGAAGTGGAGACGAAAAATTTATTGCTTACTGTTATTTGCTGTAACCGACAAAGCAGAAAAGACAAAAAGAAAATATATCTACAACCATAATCTGACTACTCTCTTACCGTCAAAATAAAATGTCCGACTTGCTCAAAGGATTCGTTGCCGGTCCCCAACTTTTTCACCACAGTATATCTGTGTTGGGTAAATAATTATTGACAAAAAGGGACGGTATATATTAGGCCGCTCAATTAGGGTCTCTAAATATGAGACACTTACGATTGCGCAGGATTGATACTGCTTCTATCCACACCGCCTGAGTGGCAGTTGTTGTGGCCGCGAAAAGCGACACTTTTTGGGACGGTTTCACTGGCTATGACGAGCCTATATGCGGACAAACTATAATACGCAACATACCTTAGATTCGGTCGTTCGATGGGGGCCCGGAAGGTCACACACTTGGGTATGCGCAGGATTGACACTACATCCCTCCACACCGTCTGCGTGGCAGTGGCTGTGACGGCGATAATCGGCACTTTTGGGAACTGCACGCGCAGAATACCCAGTTGTTTGTAGTCCGGTCGGAAGTCGTTACCCCATTGCGAGCAACAATGTGCTTCGTCTATGACGATCCGCCGTAGTTTCCCTGTATGTAGGTGTGCATGGAGGTGTACATATACTGAGTTTATGAGGGTGAGTGGGATGTGTACCGATATCTGGTCTATGAGTGTGAACTAATGTGTTTGACGCCACTGTGTAGTCGGCACGGAAGTCGTCTACCCATTGCGAGCAGCAATGCGCTTCGTCTATGACAACCATTTCCCAGCACATTAGTGCGCAGGGGGATATTCGAACACCCATGTTCGTTGGTGTGAGATGTTCGTTGATATATAAATAGATAGAAAAATAAAAGTACAACTTCCCTGATTGTGGGCGTGCAGAGATATGTACATTTGGCTGGATTGCGAGTGTTTGTGGGGTTGAACTCGAAATATGAGCCATTATCACACAAGAGCGCACTTCGTATATCGATACTCTCCGCAATTTCCTTATTAGGCAATGTATAGGAGGGGGGGGAGGGGTTATTGTTGTAGTGCGAGTGGCTGTGCATTTTACAAAACGTGAGTTTCAAACGGGTTATGCGACCGATTCCTTGCGAGTGTCTCACTACTGTCATCCACACAGGAGCGGATAAGA